AACGAGCGGCCACGTGATCTCTAGTCGAATATATGCCGCCAATGTTTCTCGTAGCCACGCGCTTGGGTTGGCAAAGCCCAAGGCACACGATGCGTTCCCCAGGTTGTTAAGGTTCGGCTATTCCCGTCAGAGCAGCGAATGGGCACGATTCATCACCGGAATGCATGTCGAGGCATTAAGGGTCACGAGCCCAAATCGAATGCTCACACATTTCTCATTTCCACCGTATGGCCCGAATGTAAATATCGTCATGCGGCGATCACAAAACTTGGTAACCAAATCATGGGAATCGCTTTATTGACCACGATAAAAATGTGATTCATACTGCTTAATCGTCAAGTTTTGCGAAGGAGAAAAAAAAAAAAAAGGAAACGTCCTCTTTTATACTTTAAGCTATACGGTGACGACAAAGAAGCATCTTGGCCAGTGGCGTGGTGTGCAAGACCTTGGTCCCACTAGTTTTATTCAGGGGGTATAAAGGGAGAAACATTCCTTCCTAATATTGTTGCACGGCCCTTTAAAAATCGTCCGGCTCAGACATTATATTTACTGAATTTGACATTGATTTCCCTGCTAAATATAGTGGGAAATTATTGCTGTCTCGTGTCATTTCATGATTTGATGGCACGTCGCAGACTCACATGACGGCTCAGTTTCACGTAACGTCTTAATTTTGCGTGATGGGATATTTAGCTCCTCAGCTAAATTTATCGGGAACATTGAGCTTAAATTACTTCATGCGACGCTTGGTCACGTGAACGGGTCATGTGACACCAGAACGTAAAAATGTGACGTCATTTTTCCTGCTAACCTTAGCGAGGAAATCGATGTCACCTAACACTATGAAGTCACGTGACATTGTGACGTCATGCGGTCTGGCCAACATGAGCAAGACAGGCCATGAAGGATTTCCCTACAAAGCTAGAGGTTTAAAACCCGCGTAGTGAACGCATAGTGCTTACTAAACGTATGCCGAACACGTTATTTGTGTCTTATCTCGTTGGAGCACAATGCTGAAGCCAGCCGACAAAACTCAGTTCCGTGACGTAGACATCCATTAAACAGCCAGAGATGGGGAGGCCGCATCGTCGAAGGTGGTCGAAATCGATGCTGGACAACTTTGCAACACTTAGTACCGAGGCGACGCATGCTGAGTAAATGGCCTGCACATGCATGCGTGGCGCCCGATTGTACGTAGAAGAAAGCTACAGGACATGCTCACAATGCGTTCGTCAAGTCAGTACACAAAGATGGCAGCTCACAGAAGGCGAATGTTGGAACGGTCTACATAGTCGGTGACAGGAGTATGCTCAGCCTGATCCTTACATTTCTGCCACTGATAGCAGCTCATCGCTCCCGCAGCCAAAGAGCGGTGGGAGGCGACGAGCCTATGTTGTGGACGGGACAGGCATGTACCATGTTGGGTTCCTACTCTGGGTCTTCTATAGAGTTCAACGCCTGCAAACATCCTCCTGTTTATCCATGAGGCTACAAGTGTCATCACACTATGGCCGCACCGACCAAGAAATAGACCTTCTGCAAAAATCCTAAAAGGCTGCGCGCGAATTCCTGTAGCCACCTTCTTACCACCGAGGTACCTAGCACCTGGAACAAAAGTGTGCAAGAGGATGGCGCAGTCGCTCGCCAGAAAGAAGGACAGGACTAAACCCCTTGCACCTTAAAATCAGATGTTCCCTCGTTTTATTCTCAATTTTACATATATTTTAAGTTGAATCTACATCTTGGAATTTAGCCCTATATGTCTTTGTTGTGAGTACTCCCGTCCTAGCCTCTAGTAGTGAGCTTCCCGCGAATTATGAAACAATGGTACTTTCATTGCTCATTACTCCCGTCATCATTACTCCCGATTTTGTCCCACTAAAATTCAGGCCCAGAGCAACCCCTTCCTCGTCACGGATTCTTACCAGTTTCTGTAACTTTTCACGGTTGTCCTCAAGTAGCACAATATCGTCTGCATACATCAGACCTAGTATATTCTGCTTGAGATTTGCCACTCCTTCCATATAAGTTAAATCGAAGCCTATTTCACTTTGTTCCATTCCTGTTAAGTATATCACGAAGAGCAGATGCGACAGCGGACACCCCTGCCTAAGACCCGGCTTTATTGCTGCTGGCCCATGTCTTCATTCTTCCGTGTCATAGTTACCATGTTATTTCTGTACAGCTCTTGTAAAAATCTTACTAATTTCGTGTCTAGGCCTGACGCCTTTAGTCGAGGCCACATGGCATCCTGATTCACATTGTCAAGTTTACCCTGTATATCTAGAAATTCTGCTCATAGCGGTTGTTGACCTCCCTGCGCTATTTCGATACATTGCATAAGTGTGAATAGGTTACTTTCGAGTCTTCTTTATTTGCGAGAACAATTCTGGATCTCTCCCAAGATCTACTCACTTTCTGCCCACTCTTCTACTCTCGTGTTTAAAATTTGCATTGCTATCCAGTAAAGAACAAAAGTTACAGTTATTGGGAGATAGGACTTAATATTGTCCTTGTCCCCTTTACCCTTGTACAATAATCACATACCGCTTTATCGCCACGTCTCAGTTACCTCCCTTTCAATAATTGCTTTATTTATTGCCTGTCAGAATTTAAATTTACTTATTTTACGTGGAAGTTTTACTAGTCTCGTTGGTATGCCGTCCGGTCCACTTGATGTTCCTGCCGCCACGCTACTTTCTGCTTTCTCCCATACTCTTAATGTTATTTGAGGTAAGTCGCAAAACTCTTGTTGTTCATTGCTGTCGCCGATTATCTGTGAGGTTTCCGGTTTTCTATTTTTAAAAAAGCTTCCTCCATTACGCTGGTATTGTATTTGTGCACCCCTTACCACTCTACCAGAGTACCGTCTTCAGTAATTAAAGCATGGTGTCTTACATCTGCCTTTCTTCCATGTGAACTAATTTGTTTCCAAAACTTCTTTTGGAAACAAATTAGTTTCTTCTGATGCAGCACCCTCTTCATTGCTATTCTATGTTCCCTTGATGACTCCTGTCGTCAGTTTATGGCTGCCTTAGCCTCCCACCCACCAAAAGTTTGGTTTACGTCCACACTTTCCCTTATTATTGGCTTGGTTTCGTTCCGGTTCTCTGCTGATAATTTCTATTAGTTTGTCCATTCCTTTTTTGCCTCCGCATATACTATGTCTTCGATTCGGTTCGAAACTCCTTGTAGCTCTGCGTCACTGATGCCTATTTTGTCCTCTCGCTTCCGATTCTGTGTTTCCCCCTTCGATTACCAAAATTTACTTTAATACGCTTATGATCGCGCCCCAATCTTTTTGTATTCCCCTCGTGTATTTCCATGGCTTCAATTCTGTTATACAATTTGTGAGACATCTAGCAGTAGTCTATTGTAGACTGAGACTTGTTCCTCTCCCATGTCGCCGTTCCCTCGCATTTAACTTGTGCATTAACAAGTACTAGATAAGAAGCCTCGCAAAATGTCTGTAGCATGCTCCCTGTTGTATCTGTATACACGAAAAAGTCTTCCAGACGTGCATTCATTTCATCTATAATTAGAATTTCATGACTCGTTTTGACCTCCTTGGTATCGTTAGCTATGCATCTCAGATGTTGTTTTCTTCTCTAGAAATTTGCCCGTACCATAGATATTCAAACCCCAAGAATGTTGGCACCCCCCATTCCCCAATGTTACCCTTTAACCATAGGTGCTCTCTACACTCTTCCTTGATTCTTTGCCAATCTTCTGCCCTCACCAATGCCCCTATACGTTCTGCTTTACGTTCCTTTCATTTCCTGTTACACTCTACCTATGTGTACTCTGGCATAAAATGCGGTTCTTCCATATCCCATAGATGTGTCACCGCAACTTCATATACCGTACATTTTTTTGCTTGAAGTTCCCCTCTATTTTGCCCCAATTTACCATATTCCTGCCCCCCTGCATATTTATAAAGCCTACGTTCTGCTGTTTTTTCCTCTTCCCCCTCCGCCTCTTAGTCCTGCCCTCCCTGTTTCCTCAACGCCTGTTCCCGCGGGGCCCTCCTCAGGAACTCGCCCGCCTTTAAAAATAACTCCCGCTCTACGATACACTCTGCTCCCCATCTGCCACCCCATGGGTACGCTATAATAGATGCCATCCCCGGAGAATGAGTGGAGTACCCCAATCCCATATATCTCCTGGTTGATATCCATCCCATCGTACCTGTCTCCCTCAGCTGTCGGATGATTGCACTGGCCTCAATGACCTGCCTCTCTACCTCCGGATACTTAATCCCAGACCTCTAGTATCGTTCACTGCACAATATGTACACCCTCAAAGAGCGTCCTAAGTTTGGCCAAATTCGGTTTGGCCACCCCCAACTGTATCTGTTTAGCTAGGTGTCACCCCTTTCCTTTCACCACATCATTTAGCCCCGTATGCACCGCAACCAAGTTCCTTTCCCTCATGTATTCCCACATCTTGTCATTTGTCTCTCAATTACTTCACCAAAGCACTGTCTTAGCATGGCTGTTACCAGCAACCTGTCATTATATTGGCGGGGGAGGGCGAGTACAGCAGTGATACCCTCGCCCTGGCGACGCAATATCACCTGAATTCAAACTCAATCGCGACGCAAAAACGTCGAAATGCCGTAGCAGCTGAGGCTCTCTATCCGCATCACTTCGCGTTATCACTCGCGCGATGTTTTGTTTAGTGGCGCTTCCTCACATGGGTGCGGCCTTTATGGTATCCCCCAGGAAGCGTGGAGGTTATTGTATGTTTCAAACCTCCAGTTAGGTCCTGATAATAATCCCCATTTCTGTCACTTATTGGATACGCACTGAATATTTAATGTATTAATATTATATTTCCGGCCTGGTTTCAGTTACTAAAACTTTACCGCAGATTCGTGAATTGTTCCCAAGTATTTAGTCCTGCCCGTTGCACGACAGGTACGAAGGAATTCGATGACGACGAAGTCAAAACATCTGGAGATGCCGAGTCCAATCCTTCATTCGTTTGTGGCCTTGTAGGATCCCTCACAACTGTGGCAGAAGTGACAACACCAACCACGGCAGCAACAACAGGAACGACAACCAAAGCAACAATATCATCCACAACAATGAAGACAAAAAATCCAACAACAAAGATGCCAGCCAGAAGCACCACCAGAGCGACCACAGCTGTCACAACAAGAACGACCAGGGGAATAACAACAACAACGACAACAAAAAGGACAACAAGAGCGACAATGATTGCAACAAAAGCGACAACAACAACATCAGGAAGAGCGACAACGAAAAGCACAAATAGAGCGACCAGAACAACAAGAGCGACAATCAAGGTGACAGCAACGGCAACCATAAAGGCGATCATTACGACACCTCGTAAGTGCCACACTCTAAGATAAAAGATGGTCTCAAAGGACTAACGGCAACATTTGGTCCACTACAATCCCAGTTGTTCCCCGAAAAAAAAACCATCATGTCCACGCAGGTACCGTGTGCAAAAGCTGGGGACTAACTGCGCTCGACTGGGACTAACCGAGGGGTCTGCGCGAGCAAAAGCAGCCATTAGTCCTTCTCAGACAGGATACCTCTGTATATCTTAGTCCCCGAAAGCAAACCGAATGCTCGCCAGGAGGACAGCTAACATTTCTCTTGTTTTGAGAATCAGCGCACTCAGCCGAGCGCGGCCGAAAAATTTGACCAAACTCAGACGAAACTGGCGAATTTTATTTATTGTGCAACGATCGTTTAGGATATTACATGGTAGAGATTCGCGCGTTCTGTGAATACCAGTTAGCGAAACTGCTGACTCGCATTCACCCAACTACTGTCTCGTCAACAATGCTGCGTGGAAATTTGATAAGTCCCCATTGAAGTGATTAGCCTTCGCGCAAACAATGAGCATTTATCCAAACGCAGCACCTCCAATTAAAAAAAACTTTTTATTTTTTTTAAAAAGAAATAATTTTAAGAGTTTGTAGAAGACGGGCTTTCGAAACGGGAGTCTCGCAGTCCCAGTAAACGGCCACTTTAATCGAAAAAACTGAGTTACTGAGAACAAGTCTAGACTCGACTCTGCGCCTCCCTTTCATCAACAATTCTGGGTAGTCCTATGTTGAACTCAAAATCCGCAACAACACACTTGATGCACAGAACGTCCCAATCAAAAAGCACATTCAGGGCCAGTATCCAGACGCCTTCATGCCATCGTCGTCGCCGTTTCACATAACATTTCAGATGGACAACAATCAACGAACCGCCACAGCAACGTCAGCCATTACACACCGTGACGGTAACAAAAAGGATGCGGACTGAAAAAAGCACCCCAACAAATTTAAAACGCTGAAACAAAAAAGTGTTTGCTTGTCCGTCACTCGACTTGCGTGTTGGAAATGGAGACCTTCTCCTGTCCTTGTGGTTGGGCCCCATTGCTGTGTCCGGGTGTTTTGTGTAGTGCGAGGGGAAAAAGAGTAGAAAGAAAGCTGAAGTGGAGAGGAGAGACCACCTTTCCACAACGGCTTTCCTCGTGTGCGACTTTCCCGATTACGAGACGGAATGTCCAACGAGCCTGAATGTCCAACGAGACGAAAGATCCAATAATGGATATTCAGGCACGTTGGACAATCAGGCTCGTTGGACATTCCGTCTCGGTTGGATCTTCCGTCTCGTTGGACATTCAGGCTCGTTGGACATTCCGTCTCGGTTGGATCTTTCGTCTCGTTGGACATTCAGGCACGTTGGACATTCCGTCTTGGTTGGACCTTTCGTCTCGTTGGACATTCAGGCACGTTGGACATTTCGTCTCGCCTGTCACGTGCTAGAATAATTTGCCCTCTTAAATCTGCAGACTTGTGTGTATATTTAGTCCGCGTTCCTGCAGGCATTGCCGTAGTTACATCATACTAAAATGTCGTGCCACAAAAGCCGACGTTGACGGACCGACAAAGAAACAGAGGAGACACAAACATTATAATTTCATAAATGAATAAATGAATAGTTAACCCAACCAGGCAGACGTCTGCCGAAATGTTCACCTTCAAATTATAATTTCGTCTATAGGAAGGCTTGATGGTTAGTTGGCTGAGTGCCGATGCGCAGCTATGTACCAATCGGTTAAAGGTGTCGATTGTACGACGCCAAACGCCCCTTTGATATTAACAGTTCAAATGTTTGGAATATTCCGATGACATAGGTCAGCCAATTTGAAATATATAATAGGGATGCAATGTCCGGGTGTTCTAGTGCATCGCAATTGGCGGACGTCTAGAAAAGCCGCGATTTAGAACCCAGGAATTTCTAGTTCAGTCCTCATCCCTGCCCGTTTCGATCTATAGATGAGCTACATACGGAGATCCGCATTGCAAACACATGGACGCCCGCCAGCGCCACTGACTATGCGCAGAGTCAATATTTAATTTTTTTTTAAAAGGAGCTTTGCCAGCTGTGGGTGCGAGGCATCAAGAGTTTTCACAAGCGCAATTTCCCACTAATAAAAAATATATAGATATCTTTTTTTAAATAAAACCTACATCTAACGCGCCGGTAAATGCATGGGGGTGGTGGCCGGTGGGACCGGACAATTCCTGAGTAAATGCGGAACAATTTATGAATTTTGAGAAATTTTAATTTTTGTTCATTTATCTATGGAACAGACAACTACTCACTGTACTCTTCAGTCGTCGGTGGTTTACAGACGCATCCACTCTCTACCAATTCACTGAGCCTGCAGGTTCGATTTTGCCAGGGAGCGCCACCGTCGATCCGCCATCTTCGAGGTCGCGATTTGACGTTTGATTGGCTTGTCTATGCGGTCGTCAGTTGGTAGTGTGTGCTAATTTCACATCGTCAAAGCAGCTTCGTTTAACAGAATAGAGAAAACAGTCTATCTCGGGGGCGGGCCGTTTTAATTCCTTTGTTGCCGCTGAGTACCGCGTGTAAAGGCTGAACCGCATGTAAGCAATTTAGCGAACTACGAGACGAGACGAGTGACGGCGATGTGAAAAGCGACAACGACCTACTTCGCTGTCGCTCGGTCACTCGCGCGACGAGGCAAACCGCATGAAAGCGACGGGAGCAAGCTACCAAGGCTATGAGCGACGATTTTCAGAAATCTAAAAACCGAACGACGCGACGAGCAACCGTGAGAAATCGCCATCGCTCGTCGCCGACTACCGTCGCCGTCGCTCGCTAAATTGCTTACATGCGGTTCACCCTCCACTGTCGCTCGTCGCGTAGCTCAGTTTTTTGGATTTTTAGAAAAACTTAGCGCTCAACACTTCGGTCGTTTGCTTCCGTCGCTTCCATGCGGTTTGCCTCGTTCCGCGATTGACCGAGCGACAGCGAAGCGGGTCGCCGTCGCTTTTATCGTCGCTCGCCAAATCGCTTGCACGCGGTATTAAATCGTTCGGGCTAATGAAAAGTGCGACGCATTTTTCGTTAGCAGCGCACTCGGCGAGCCGCACGGTACGTTTCTGCACAGAACGAACTAGAAGGCACGACGTACGACGCGGAGGCGATGGAGCAACACGGTTACACGGCCGTAGTGCAGAAAATCCGCTAGAGAAAAAACAATAATGAAACTACCAAAACAAAACAAAGAGTAATCACACCGTGCTACAAAAACCCCAAAGTAGAAAATCACAGTTCTTGCAAAAGAGCTACCGCCGTGGGCACGGCGCGCGACACGGAGCGCTGCATGGAGCCGATGGAGCAACGCGGCCACGGTGGAAAACGGGCCACGGTGCAAAAACGAACTAAAACACACACAAAATATTCCTACGGCGCTTCAAAAGCACCGAAGTCTAAAAATAACCCCTAGTTTTGGCCAAAAATACCCTTTAAAGTTGTAAAATGCTGCTAACCCGCGCTGAAAGGTCCGGCCAGACGGCACCTGACACCTACGTGGGATAAAAGGAGACCTCGAAGATGGCGAGCGTAGTGGCCGATGCCAGCGCACCTAGCGAGTGACGTCAAGTGAATGTCACCTATAGGTTTGTATGTCAGTGAGTAGAGCGATAATACTAGTATCACACAGTACGCAACTTTTCTTCATTTTTTTTTTCATGTGACATGCATAGTGGTTTTCAGAAGCCCATGTAATTTAACTAGCTTCTGGAAGCACTCCAAAGCTCGTCATTCTGTCAAGGTAGTTCATGACGTCTTGGTGGGTGGGAGCTTGACTGCTGATAAAGAAAGCGAACGCATCCATCTCGGCGTGCAGCAGAATGTTCACACCCGGATGTACTAATAGCCTGCATCATGTGTGAATATAACAATAGATCGTTCCAAGTGGCTTTCTATTCTTGTAGGGTAAGCGTATTGCATCACGAATCCGGTGACTTCGTCGAAATTCTATTGGTCTCTGGACAACTGGAAGATTGACGATTCGTCCCGATTCGCAGAATGAAGAATGGGGCGAAAGTCCCCGTTTGTCGAACTGTCGAAAACAGTTGACTAGGGTTGGGTGTGTAGATTGCCGGTGACAGTGGGGATCAACAGTGAGACCTTCTTTTCAAAAAAGAGAGGATGACAAATGCAGCTCTCAGAATTGGCAAGGGTCCGATAGTTATTCAAAATGATAAAAGTCAGGTTCTTCGTGAGGGTGTTCACTCGCCACTATAGCATTATGGAATTTGGGAAGACCGAGCGAGGGGCTGACCTCCTGATGCCGTGGTCATATGTGCGCTTGTAATGTACGCATATGAATAAATAACGGTCGCACTGTCACAGCGGCTCTGTGACAGAGTTAGAACCAGTTGAAATCCGATCGCAGCCTTGGTATGCTACCTGGGCGCGTATCGGTACGATTGCTCCATGCCACGGGATTAGGAAAGGCGGTAACGACGGAAGCCAACCCTAAAAAAGTATTGTAATAATTATGAGTATTACCTACTTGTTGCTTAATACATGGTTCACTGCGACAGCAATCGCTTTGGTGGCCGAAGCATGCGAAACTAATCGTCGCGATAAGCGTCAATGCACAATCACCGGACAAAAGCTCACCAATTGAGGAGATTAGCTGCACAAAGGCTTAATAGAAGGAACGTTGGATTCTATCACTGATTTTGATATGAGGATCGAATTTTTGTTTCTGGGGACCGAGAAGTCCAATCAGAAATGTCTAAAACTTTCACGTTCATTCTGTAAAAAAGAAGAAAACAAAAACTACAATTTAGAGTAATTACACATACTACACCGACATCGCCTAATAATAATTATAATACTAAAAATTCAATCAGGCGCTTTTCTCCCATGCGAGGGACATCATCTTTGCGGGACTAGGAACACGAATAAGAAAAATACAGC